TCAGAATGAACTAATTTTTTAATGAGCACATTCGAACAAACTCTAATATCACAGATTACTTCAGTTAATATATTCAGTGAATATCTTGCTCAAATGAGTGTTGTGTAATATGATTATATGACGGTTTAGTGGGAGTTTGTAATTTTAGTTTTACTAAGGGTTCATACATTTATGAACATTCAGATATTAATTCTGAAGTATAAAGTCTAAGTATAAAGTGTAAGTAAAGTCTAAGTAGGACCAGTTGGAAAGAGGCATGTTAAGGTTTAAAATTTTTAGTGTGCTTACATTCTGAAACTTAGGTTGATCTCACTAAAGTATAAGGAGGACCAGTTGAAAATAGGGATGTTAAGGATCACTTTGTATATAATTTCCATGCTACATATCCACACTTGATTCATGTCATTTAGTTATATTAATATATGTAACCATTGATGGGTTTAGTTGCGATTAGTGTAATGAGTGCCTCTTTGATCCTATGTTAATGTAGTTAATGGACGGATTGTTTCAGATACTTTTATGATAGTAAATTTTGAGCGCTCTAGAATTTACGGTGTAATATACAATTATAAGGAATATATTTGATGTACAACCCAAGTGGGAGATTGTAAGATCTATGTGGACTTATACATTAAGTATACAATTATATGTTACAAACTATCATAAAATACTAACCCACATAAAGTGGTCTAATTAAGTCAACTAAAGTTTGGGCTAATAATAATTAAGTTAAGGTCTGGCCCATTATTGTGTAGAAACCCTAAAACCCAGTTTCGATTCTATGACAGGTGAAATCGGAAACCCTATTATATATTAGTTGTGGTCAGTAGATGAGCCGTAATTCCAAATCTCTACTCTCCTTTAGTTAGAGGTTCCGCAAGGGCTTGACGGAATCATTAGATGATGAAGGGAAATTGCGCACCCTTTTTAATGTCAAATTGCATTGGTGACTAGTTTTTCTAGAATAAGGGAAATAATAATAGTAGACGAAATAGGATAATTATTTTGGATGGAGGTATGTGACATTTTTTCTGAAGGATAATAATTTGTGCACGGAAAAATTTATAGAAAATTTTAATATAGAATGAATTCTATATTCAAAATTATTATGGGATACGCCACATCATTCGTTGTCAAAATTTCTTATAAATTAATTTTTCTAGCACGTATCAGCACTTTTTTAAGAAAATACACGAGTGATAAAGCCATGCGAGAACAAAAACAAAAACGAGAAAACCCCATTCTTTGCACCCTGACTCGGAGTAGCTGATCCCTTGAGGACTTCTTAGGAAACAGTTCAAATAGAATAGAAGGGTTCAAAAAAACAGTTTACCCCTTTGGCCTTTGACAAAGCTTTAACACCGGCTCCAAATTTTCACACTATAAATTAAGATCAATCGTCAATGGAGATTCGGGTCATGGGTGATTCGTTTACAATACAAATGATGATGGAGGAAATACAAGACGCATTTCCGCCGCCGCCGCAGTTACCGTCAGATGTCTTAGGTGAACCCGAAAGCGATATTGAAGCGCCGCGGCCGCCAGCTCCGTCCTCACTACATGTAGCAGAGCTTCCTCCGCCGCGCATCCAAACTCCAAACCGGAACCATCCGCTTCTTCCACGAACCGGAAATCGACCCCGGCCGCCTCAACAACATCCCGAATGGCTCAATTTAATCATGGGTTTTGGGTTCGCGGCGATCGGCTTCCGGTCGCAGTGCCAAAATTCCGGCTGCCTGAAGTCCTTTAGCTTCCAACTGGCTTGCCTGTGTTTAGTCCTGGCTTTATCAGCATTGACGGTGTCCAAATACATCACTGAGAATCAACAAACGGTGGCTGAATTCCTGGAATACGCCGGAGTTTTTTCTGGGTTCACCGCATTTTTTGTTGCCATAACCCCTACTTTTCCCCTGTTTCTCCAGATCATTTCTTGGTTTGTGTATGTACTGTCAATCGCCGTGATTATCTTTTCCCACTTGGATTTTTTTTAGATTGCACTAGAAATTCAAGCGTGGCTTGGATTCATTGCACTAGAATTTTAACATGTTTAGTCAATTGACGATGAAGGCAAACAACTAAGCAATTATTCAATTTAAGTGAAACTACAAGAGCTTTCTTGTAAATTAAACAGTTGGCATTTTCCCGCCAAAAGGCAGGTTGAGATTTTCTTTGTACAGTGTTCTAATGCAGTTATGAAATTCCTACCCGAACAAGTTTCACCTAAATTAACACATTAATTTGTCTCTCTAAAATCTAAAAATCTAATCATAAAAGCTCCCACAAACTGTCTTCTAGTACATAATTATTTTTACCATTATTTTGTGACCGACACAAATTAGGAATTGCGAACTTCTCCCAAATATATGAATGTTCGTGAGGGACTTTCCAAGTGCAATCTCAATCAGTTGAAGCCAGAAGGTGCAATTTTGATCAAAATGTAACATATACGCCATAATTCTTTCTTCTACTCGTAAATTGTTTCTGCAATATCTAACTTCTTTGGGTGTTTATTTTAAATTGCAATAATTTTTGAATTGTTAAAATCACACAATAGTCAACAAAATCACTCATATTTTTACACTTCTTTTGGTTTGGATTATATGATTGAAAATCTCAGCAATTCTCCACTAACAATATCTTTTTTCGCATCCCATATTAATACACAACGATAATTTTATTTTATTTTTCTAATGAAACAACTAATTCCAGGTACTTGAGCCATCAAGTGGGCGAATTAGATCTCGTAAAATTACCAAATGCACCATTTATAGTCAAAAAATAGTTTAGATACTGCAAATTTAACTAATATACATTTGTGTGCAACCAAAAGGGGGAAAAGAAAACCGCCCCTGGAAATGGCATTAGCAAATGTATGTTGGAAGGTTACCAATAACTTATAATTTCACTACTACATGGGATCAACAATATGTATATGAATTTTAAATCCCCTGATTACACAATGTGTAATCTAAAAGAAACCCCAGTGGCAGAAGATGATAACAGCGATTGAAAGTACATAAGCAAACCAGACGATGATTTGGAGGAAACAGGGGAAAAGTTGGGGTCATGGCTACAAAAAAGGCGGTGAACCCAAAATAAACACCGGCGTGTTCCAGAACTTGGGCCATTGTCGGAAGAGTTTCGTTGGTATACTTTGATACCGTCAGAGCTGATAAAGCCAAGACTAAACATAGGAAAGCCATGTGGAAGCTAAGGGACGGCGGGCTGCCAGAATTTTGGCTCTGTGACCGGAAGCTGATACATAACTAAATTCAGCCATTCAGGAGGTAGCTGAGGAGGTGGCTGGGTGCGGGGACGAGGCGGATAGTTCGGGTTTGTAGGTTGGTGAAGCGGCGGTGGGAGCTCTGTTTCATGGGGAGGAAGCAGAGCTGGCGGCTGTTGCGCTTCAAGATCCATTTCTGGTTCAGTTAAGTCAGCCAAAGGGATCTCCGGCGGAAATGCTTCTTGAATATCATCCATCATCATTTTGGCCCGAATTGTCAATTGAGAGATCGACCTTAATTTATAAGGAAAAAAGGAAGAAAGTTCGCAGTTGTTGGAGTTCTTCGTTGAGCTTCATCAAAAGGGGTCACGAAATCGGGGCCCCAGGGTTCAGGAAGCAAATGCGAACAGAATACTATTTGATAGTTGTGATATCCATAACCAAGGACATCTTTTTGGCAGAATTCACTATTTGATAATTGTAAGTTCATTTTCATTAAAAAAAAAAAAGTGAAACTCAACTTGTTACAATCTTTCCAGGCTAGGCTTAACTAGCAAATGTACACAATTATACTCTCTTTCCTTTGTGGCTAGAAAAGTCGTTTAAGGCAGATTGTATTAGTTTTCTGAAAATACTTTTGCTATAAATTTTTTAACTTATAAAATGATTATCGCTTGGGGAGGGGGGGAAACAGCACTTATCTTGATAAAACTACATCTTCTTCTTGTACTATATGTTTCCACTTTTTTATTTTTTTTCTATCAAGGAGGCAAAACACATAAAAACATTCATAGTCTAGCAAAAAGTTTTGTAATATTTGATTGATTGATATTCAAATGGGCAAAAGTATTCAATGTGTTTTCTAAAAATATTCAACTTCGAAATAAAACTAAAATAATTCACTTGTTATTAAATTATTATTATCCTGGTACCAATTAAAACTATTTTAAGGCTGTATGGACGATACCAATTTCATTTTTGTGTGTGTGTGTGTGTGTGTGTTTTTGAATTTAGACGAAATTCATTTATAGGCGGTAATATTGCATCGGAAGTAAAGCATTCTCCATTTAATATAGGCTGTTTACAATGAGAATTGCTTCCATGATTGAATCGGCACCTTCCTTCAAATTTATTACTCCTAACAAAATGCAATGTGTATTGAATCTAGGGAAGCTTCTTTTGATTTTGACATGAAATGTTTCTAGGAGGAGTTATCTTAGAGAGTGAAGGTTAACTCCTAGATATCAGGTTCAGGGTTCAAAGGCCTGACCTCTAGGCTCATTTGGTCTTTCTATCTTTAGGAAGCGTTTATCAATTCAGACTTCAGAGTAGTGTGGTTCATTATTCTCCTCTTGTTCATTTTGTCAACGATTTTCTGAATAAGGGGCATCTAAAAAGTTTTGAGGATGTAAAAGTGGACAGCAAATCATGTAATGCTCCAACTAATTTCCACAGTAGGGAGGGTGTGATCTGTTTACTGAAGGAGAAGAATGAATTAAATCTATTTCTATTTTTGGTAAAAGGAAGGCTAAAATAGTCTTCTACCCAATTTACAAAAAAATTACAAAAATTGGTAATGAACAAAAAAACAACCGCAAAAATTAAAGAGCTACAGTAGTCAACTTCTTGGAGCAGAGCAATAGAAGTGTGTTCACATTCGTAGAAATCAGCCAATAAAATAGTACCCCTAGTAGTGTATTATACTAGCCGTGTTTTTCTATGAAAGTTTCTAAATTTATAAGCCCCCGAAACCGATTGGTCCATTCCTCTCCGTGTAATTTTTGTTTGCGGAGGAGGGGGGAAAGAAAATCAGTCCACCGGAGAAGCCAGCTGCTTCACCGGGCCGGCATGGCTAAAACTAACTGGGTTCTCGCAGATGAAGGGATTGTTGATATGAATGGAATCTTTACTTAATCGGAGTTCTTTGAGTACCTTGGTACAAGAATGGTCATTTCCGGCAGGCGGCAGCTCGTCGCCCAAAAGGTTTCTGGTCCTCTGGAACGAAGAGGATGAAGAAATAGATTGTACCTGTGAGTTTTAAATTTTGTGAATTGCTTTACCTGAGTCTCCGAATCATGATTGATTAGGTTTACTTTGAATGAAATTTTGTTACGTTATAGTCTCTGAAATTGAAACTTCAATCAATACGTACTGGTTTAACCAGCTCTAGCTTGTTTTCAGTTGTTAGATCTCGGTATCCCTCGACCAGAAGTGATAACTGGATGATCAAAGATAAGATCAGAAAAGCGCTTGAGAATGTAGATCTGGCGTGTTTTCTCTCAATCCTGGCTCAGTTTTGGGCTATCGACGGCCGGTGCTTCCTCCAAACTTTATATCAACCGTTTGGTATGACATATCTGGGGAAGGAACTTTATTCTTACTAGAAAATCCAAACTGGACAAGTATTTTGGATGAAGTCATGGCAAATGTGACTTATATATTCACAGAGCTGTAATGTTTTTGTGTACAAAGTGGAAAGGAAGAAACGCCCCGGCAAAGAGCATTAGCAAAATGTATTTAGGAAGATTACAATAACTTTACTATCACATGGGATTTGCTATGCTTAATTTTAATGGCTCAATTACACACAACAAAATGTGTAGCCTAACAGAAATCAAAATGATCACAGGGATTGGAAGTACATATGCAAATCAGGAGATGATCTTGATGAACCGATAGGTTGTGAACCCAAGATTTAGGACATTGTTTACAGAATTTTGGAGGTGTAATTGGGCACCGTAAAAGCCGATCAGAAAGCCAAGACTAAAGATAGGAAAGTCATCTTGAAGCTAAAGGACTGAGGGCAGCTCGAGTTTTGTCTCTGTATCGGGAAGCTGATGGTGGCAATGCCAAAAGCCATTAAGTTAAATAATCCCCCTTTGGGAGGCCTAAAATGAAGTATTGTCCTGCAATTTGGATGGGATGTATCCAATCGGAAAATAATATTGGTCGAGCGGTGGAGATAAAGCTTAGCCTACCCCTGAAATAAATATGAAACATGCAATTAAGGCACAACTATTTCTATCAAACACCCAACCTGGCAACCTTAACCATCAGGTGTGGGACTGGATTAGCAGTAAATTTAAGAGAAAATAAAACAACCAAAAGTTTCAAGAGTAGAAACTTCCCTTTGGAAAAAAAAATAAAATAAATAAATAATCAAGAATTAATGAATCCATTCAGGAGCTGAATCTCCCTGTGTGACACAAGCTCTGATTGTAGACATTCCCATTGATTCCATGGTCCGCAAGTCAGCATCACAGGTCAGTAAGATGAATTCGTTATCTTCATCTACATACCAAAGCTTAAAACTACCAATCTCTAATTTTAGCCTCGTAGCAACTTCTAATTCCAAGTGCGTCAACTGTGATGAAAATGGAAGTGGAAACTTTATCATAATGTGTTTTCCGTATCGAGCCTTTATGGTCATAAAGGTACGAGGAGGCAATCTTGCAACAGCTTGTGGAGCATTGTAGTAGTTCTTGCTAGATAATGTTGTAGTACTTGTTTCTTTTCCACCACACACGGCAGAACATTGCTGCCGGCTATCGTCTTCATCACATTTGTTCTTTTCGTTCTGTTTGCCCGAATGCTCAATAGTGGCAGCTGCGCAAGCGCCGCCATTAGGTTTCTTGCGCGGCCAACACGGGATCCCAACATCCCTGCATCGTCGCTTCAGTGTAGACGGACTTACTGCAATTAAAGAAAACAAAATCAAATTACAGGAGGGAGGGTCATATCTATCTAGCCCAGCATGCATCAGCAATTATTTCCTGCGTCTCAAAATCATAATCTACTCTATGTGGAACTAAAATAGTGGTAAAAATGTATGAGTGGCACCTAACCTTTCATAGAGCTAGCAGCCTCCTTAAGCTTCTTGTCAAAATGTTTTTCGATAGTTTCTTTAAGTTCGGCAAATTTAACCTTCGCATTGTAATCTATCGCAGGGCCAACAAATGGGCAACCGCCAAAGACATCCTGATCGGCCGCCCCGTGATCTTTATCTGGAAACCTAGAAGTCGAGACAATGGAGTTATTAAGGCTACTACCGGTTCCTTTCATTGATCGAGTATCAGAAGAGTGCTCTTCTCCGCAACCAAATGAGACAGAAGTAGAGATAGCGCCATAATCCGCAAATAACTCCTCCCAATCGATGGAAGCTTCTTCCGCCAGGCTTTCTGAGTAATTAAACACAGTGTTACTCTCTGCGTTACCTGTAGCACTATCTTCCAAGCCACTTTGTTGAACAGAGATTGTTGTTTGTGTGAGCTTCATATAGGAACTTTGATCATCCAACGCTAATCCAACAGAACCACCAGTACTACTAATGTTAGGGAACAATCTAAAAGATTCTTGGCAATTATCATCCTCTTCTGGAACTCTTAAAACCTGAACATTAATTCCACTTTCCAAATTTTCTCCACTTCCAATCACGAACCCGTTGAGGTGCTTCTTCATTGTCAATAACACATGTTCCAAAAGTTCTCGTGGATTCTCAGCGGCAGTACTAGGAAGAAAGAACTCAAGTACATAAACATTTGGAAGTGAATTCTCCGGGGACTCATAATGATGGCTCTTTAAACAAATAGCAAAAGAAGCAGTTAACAAAACCTTTCTGGCAACATGAGCAAATGAGTAATCTGCTATACTTAACCGCCCAATGTCTCTGCAGAAGCATAAACCGCCGCAAGTAAATGCCTTGGAAACAACCCCTCCCCCTGAGGTTAGGTGAAAACTTTCACAGGTATCTCTAAATATGGAGAATCCCGGATGTGATTGATAATATCCATAGCTCGCGGTGGACAAGGCATACGGTGTGTGGCCATTGAATTCCATATGAGTCCAGGCCTGAGCAAATTGTAAGCCGTGACTAATACTGACCTCCTGCAACGCCACCCCAATGTCACGCAGTGCATTGGATCGTCTCATGGAGCTCTGCTGAAAAGAACAATTATCTGAAACCAGGGCCTTTTCAGGGAATCCAAAAAACCACATCAAATTGTGTACTACTTACTCCGAAAACAGGATTCACAATTATTCGATTGAGCATAAATTAATGAACAAATCCATGGAGATGCAGGAGATTCATTTCAAGTACAACTTGTATAATTGGTTACATCCTACCTGTGCCAAGTGGTTTTCCATTTTGAAGTGTGATGTAAATGTTGAAGTCCTCAGTCCTACTCCCTGCAAGAAAAATCCAAATCGATGTAAGTAGGTTTGAAGAATTAATTAGAAGAAAATCAGAAATCAGAAGCGTTGAAGAGCAACAACAAATCTCACAAATTCGCAAGAATTTTGTGAGAACATAACCTTTGATTATGATTGCTAGTATGTTTAATTTAGCTACAATACCTTTGTCCCAATACATCATTATTAAAAACGGTCATCAAGCGTGCCATAAGCGTATCGTTTGATCAAACTGCTTCTTGATTCATAGGTGGGTTGTAACAAGTAAATTAAATGCAATCAATACAGGTATCATGAATTTCTTACAAATTTCTCGATCATAAGGAAGGCTCGAGGTATATAGTTCTCCGTAGCGAACATCGACAACTTTTATAATACTATCATATTTTTTTCCACTGTACTCGCTACATGTATTGATGTACAGTTTAAATGGGCATAGTTTTTGAATCACTATAAAGAAATAAGCAGACGAACGGACTAGTTTTACAAGGTAATAAAAGATCACCGTGAGACACACCTGTAGTGCAGTTGACATTAGTCCAAAAATGTACGCAGGCTTGTCCATCTCTGATTGAAACCTCGCAATAAAAGAGTGGCTGGATTACAATAATACAAGCTCGTAATACACCTTACTCATACTATAATATAGAAGTTGCATTGAAAAAAGAAGTACAATGGACTTCGTTTTCAGAAGAAATTAAATATGGCGAATCAGATTTTACTTTCCGAGTTTTGGCATGATTTACCATAAACATCTGAATTTTTGTAATACTATCATATTATCTCTGAGAAGCAACTACACATTAAAAGTACAAAATTGACCTTGGTGTACACAAACTTCTTTTTTTTTTTTATTAATCGGTTTGGCTTCTTCATTTCTTTGTTATTAAAAATAAAAATTACTTAATTAATCATTTTCACATTTTGTTACAATGTAAATTAGTAAAGAACTTACCGAAAAAAAGTTAATAAAGACACTTAATCATGATTGATAACAAAAGTTGACTAATAAGAATTATTTTATTTCAAAAAATTGATAAATGTAATTTTGAAAATTTATTATTCAAGTGCATCAATATAAAAAGATTAATATGATATTTTCTTATCTTAATTTTTTTAAAAAAAATAAAAATTGGATGGTCCTAACAAGTATAAAACCTCGAACTATTGGTAATAACTATCTCCACCGTTAGTCCCTAACTAACCCATCCAACCCTCCCACTATCTTAATGTATAATATATCCGTTATTGAAAACATTTATATTTATAATTGAAAAAATATGGATTGAAGAGTATTTCTTACTAGAGTAGTGATAGGTACAAGGAAAAAATGACAAGGAAAAATGACAAAGAATGATGTGTCAAGATGTTAACTATGCCTTAACCTTAAATACATAAACCCTGTTTGGAAAGTTTTAACAATGGATAATTGAGATCATTTCCTTATAATTTTTTCTCGTCATTTTTTTCTTATACCAATCATTACTCTTCTTAGTTTGACACAAAATTTACGAATATGTTAATATGTTAATGTGGTATTTGATAGGTTGACTATGAGTCAAAGGGATATTTAATAGTATTATCTAAACTGGAAATCTAGCCAAAACTCAAGGGTAAATTTAATAGTATTATCTAAACTCGGGGAATCTAGCCAAAACTCAAGGGTAAATAACCAAATAGCAACCTACCGTATGCTATTTTTGCTGAATGTGGTCATTTTATCTACTAGACATTTTAAGAAATTACTTAATCAAAAAAAGAAATAAGTAGAAAGAGATAACCGAATATCTTTAAAAATTTAAACAATTATAAAGACACAACATATACATGTCATAATGTCGTAAAATTTTAAAAACTTTATTACCTCCTCCAGATCCAGTTGTGGAGACAAGTTCAACTACGCCAACGCATCGCTGGGAGTCGCTTTCAAATACTGGCACGGCCATATAATTCTTTATTTTGCGATGCAGAGCATATTGCCGCGGGGGGTACTCTGTATCGGTGTAGAATTCCACATCCGGGCTGTACTCCGGGAATCCACTGATGAATACTCTGGAAGGCGGGCCGCCAGCCAAAACGATGCTTTCACTTCCATCTTCAAGATGAATCTTACTCTCACCGGAGTTGGAAAAACATCTGTAGTGAAAACCCGACGATTTTTTTCGGTAAGAACAGAGTCCCTTTCCCAGATAAGTCACACCGAACGGTTGATATAAAGTTCGGAGGAAGCACTGGTCGGCGATAATCAGAGGGGCCCAAAACTGAGCTAGGATTGAGAGAGAAGAAGCCAGATCTACATGCTCAAGGGCTTTTCTGATCTTATCTTTGATCATCCAGTTATCAATTCTGGTCGAGGGAGACCGAGATCTAATAACTGAAAATGAGAGCTAGAATTGGTTCAATCCGTATGCATTGAAGCTTAATATACTTTCATAAATCCAGTTGAAAGGAAATAGAATTAAGCACGATTTGGAAACGCAAAAGTCAAACATTATAAAAAAATGAAAACTCACAGGTAGAATCTAGCTCTTCATCTTCTTGGTTCCAAAGGACCAGAAACCTTTTGGGCGACGAGCTGCCGGACATGACCATTTCTGTACCGAAGTACTCGAAGAACTCCGATTCAGTAAAGATTTCGTCAAGGTCAACAATCCCTTCATCGGCTAGGACCCAGTTACTTTCAGCCATGCCGGCGCCGGTGGACTGACTGGTTTTTCTTCCCTGCAAAGTGCAAAAATGAATCTACACAGAGAGAAATGGACCAATCGATGTTGGGGCCGTATAAGTTTAGAACCTTCTTAGAAATGTACGACTATTAGTAGTTCGCTACTACAATTTTTATTGGCTGATTTGTGCGAATGTGAACACTTCTACTGAGGGTCTGCCCGAAGAAGTTTACTGTAGGCTGTAGCCCTTTGGCAATTGGCGCTTATTTTTTTCTTCAGACGTCACGGTTATTTTAAGTGGCAAAATCTAATTGGTGCAGTTTACAGTTGTGGTAAATTTAAGAGGTAAATTTTCTTCTGTAGCATCGTAAATATAAGAGGTCGTGGCCTTTTAGTAATGTTAATAGTAATTTGTTGCACTCAAAACTTTGATGTAGCATTTGTACTGAATAATTCTCAATTAGAGAGTGAGAGAATGAAACATTAAAATTTACTCTCCGGTCCTTAATATAAAGCATTTTAATTTGCTTTAGATTTACTTAGTAAATATTTTTAATTGACAAAACAATGTTAAAAATATATATTCACATTCGTTGTGTTCTCTTTATTAATATGAAATATTTTTAAAATTTTTTCAATTAAAAATACGTATTATGTGAAATTTAGGACAAATCAAAATAATTTATACTAGTATTAACTAGCGGAGGAAGTACTACTTTCCATATAGTACCTCTTATTTAGAATAGATAAGAGAAAAAGTAGAAAGCAAGAATAGTGAACCACCCATACTCCGAACTCATAAACGCTTCCAGAAGAGAGAAGGCCAAATGCGCGCCAGAGGTCAGGCCATTGAACCCTGAATCTGATCCCTCAGATCTAGGAGTTAACCCTCACCCTAAGATAACTCCTCTTAGAAACATTTCATGTCAAAATCAAAAGAAGCTTCCCTAGAATCAACAGTTCTACGCAATAAATTTTATTAGCTAGATACTCCATTTGTCTCAATATAATTGTCCAGTTTAAATTTTTTTATTTTAGTACAAATTTAAACTAAAAATAAAAATCTGAACTGGTAGTTACAAAATTGAAGGAAGATGTTGATTTAATCATGGCAGCAATTATCCGTGTAAACAACCTTTATTAAGACGCAAAATGATTTACTTTCGATGTAATAATATTTGCCGAAATGAATTTCATATAAATTGAAAAACACATTAGAACAAAAACGATATTGTAGTCGTCCATAATTATTCTCTAGGTACCAGAAAACAAGTTGATTTTGTGATATTGTTCTAGTTTTAAGAGGTTGATTTCCGGTTTTTTTTTTTTTTTTTGTTTCTTTTGAAGCGCATTAATTACTTTTGTCCATTTGGATATCAATAATATAAATCACCTATAAAACTTTGTGTGACTGTAGAAATAAGAACCGCGGGCTAGAGTACGACTTTATGTCTCTGAACCGACGAAGTATTTTAAACTTAATGTTTCTATGCATTTCGCCAACTAATGAAAAAAGGGGATATACATACTACAGAAGAAGAAGATATATCATTAAGATGTTGTGCACTTTTGCTACATGAACCCCGATCGCTGACCCCTTTCGACTAACCTCAACCAGACTCCCGACAACTCCAACCTTTCACCCCTTTCTCCTATAAATTAAGATCGATCTGTGAATCGATATTTGGACAATTCGTGTTATAATGATGATGGATGATATTCAAGATTCATTTCCGCCGGAGATCCCTTTGACTGTCTGAATTGAACCAGAAGTGGATCTCGAAGCGCCACTGCCTCCAGCTCTGCTTCCTCCCCATGAAACAGAGCTCCCACCGCCGCTTCACCAACCTACAAACCCGAACCATCCGCCTCGTCCCCACACCTGGCCACCTCCTCTACTACATCCTGAATGGCTCAATTTGATTATAGCTTTTGACTTTGCAGCGATCAGCTTCTGGTCACAAGCCGAAATTCCAGCTGCCCTCAGTCCTTTAGCTTCCACATGGCTTGCCTATGTTTAGTCTTGGCTTTATTGGCTCTGACGGTATCCAAATACGCCACCGAAAACCTGCAAACAATGGATCAAATTCTAGAATACGCCGGGGTTTATTTTGGGTTAACCGTCTTTTTTGTTGCCATGACCCCAACTTTTCCCCTGTTCCTACAAATCATCGTCTAGTTTGCTTATGTACTTCCCATCGCCGTAATCATCTTTTGCCGCTTGGGTTTCTTTTAGATTACACATTTGTTTGAGTGTAATATGGCGATCTCGAAGATCTGGTGGATCAAATTGGAAGAATTGTGAAATGAATCGAGTCGGTTTATCAGAAGCTTGAGGAAGAAGAGATTAGGGTTTAATCTTGTGTTACTCACATTAATGACCAATCATACATATATTCGCCTATTTAATACAAGTAATCAGTCAACTAAGTCAACTAACCAACCTTTACACCTGTACCCTCTATATTCCTAATTATTCACATAAGTCCCTGACAGTCTACTTATTTGTATATTTTAGTCTCTGATCATAATCAGAACTATATACAAGTATAACACTATATACAATTATTTACATATCTACAGTCCCCCCTCAAGCTGGACATTGAAGAAAGTTCTTCAGTCAAAGCTTGTCTAACAACACTGCAAACTGAGGGTGAGGTAAAGAATTTGTGAACAAATCAGCCACTTAATCCTTGGAGGGAATATGGAGAGGCACAACAAAACTTTTGGTGTAGTCATGGCGCACAAACTGGCAATCAATCTCGAAGTACTTTGTCCACTCAGATGCAATTTTGGATGCTTTAAATCATCAACAACAACCAGAAACAGTGCATCCAATAAGTCAGCAGGTAGCTACTCCGTCTCAAAGGCGTGTGCCTGTGCAATCCAGCTTAGGAAGACTGATGCATCCTTCTAGGGATAATAGGCATCATAACACGAAACATCACCGCCCGTCAATATGACAGCGCATAAGAGTACCTTCACCATAGAAGAATGTTCCGCCAAGAGCTGTCAAAGCACCGTTAGTGGATAATAACAAGTGGCATCGTGCAACACATCCAAAATTTCCTAATCAGACACCTGCAGGTGCTAGAATGACTAGAACTCAGAAATGTCGGTGGCAACGGGTGATGAACAAGAGAACCAGAGAAGATGCAACAAGGGTGGAAATACCCGCCACATCAACAATGATCACCAAGGAAGATTTGCCGTCGGTTAAATTTGCAGGTCAAGATAAAAGGCGATCTAAGTTGTTGGAATGGTAAGATGTATATTTCCCGCTGGTAAATACAGTTTATATGTTACCAAAATCTTTTTGCCCCCAAGTAACATCATTTTTGACAGCCTTGGTTCCAAAACATATTAAAGGTCCAATTGTAGCTCAAGAAGCGACTTCATTTGTGACTGAACCATACGACACTGCGGTTGGTGGAATCCATTTGTTACCTCAAGAATGCTTTCACAACTGACAAGAGACGCCAGATCCCATATCAGACCGTTGTATATCTGCGCGGTTATGGATGATGTTCCGTTGAAAAGGGTGTTAGTGGACAATGGAGCAGCTATAAATATTCTGCCATCCAAAGCATTGAGTAAGTTGGGCAAGCAATTGACGGATCTAGTACCGACTGAAATCTTTGTAAGTGGCTTCATGGGAGATGTTACAAGTGCCAAGGGAATCCTAGCATTACAAGTTGAAGTAGGATCACAGTCTGTTGTGTCAGGATTCTTTGTAGTCGATACCAAAGCATCTTATAACGCTCTTCTTGGACGAGATTGGATTCATTCAGCAATATGTGTTCCTTCTTCATTACATCAAGCAATTATTTTATGTTGAGTTGAAGGCCCAGAGATTATTGCAGCTGATACAAGTCCTTTTAGTGCACAAGCAAATGCTGTGGAAGCATAACTAATACGATAGGGAGGTAGGCCCCTACCGACTTATTGGCATGGACAAGTATGGTCGGCCAAAACATGCCACTATGCATAGAGACATGAATCTTCCTGAATGGAAGTTACTTTGGCAAGAAGTCAAAAGGCCGCATAATTACAGTTTGCTAAGGCCATTGCCAGCCGCCCCATCTATCGAAGAAGTTTTCAATGAAAACAATTGAACAGTTAGAGGTATTGAGTGCTAAGGATCTAGATGCCGAGTTACTAAAGGCAAAGAATAAGCAAGAGGCGATTCGGTGAGTGTTGCAACATTTTAAAAATGAGCGCCGAAAGGCCGCTGAAACACCAGTATTATGTTGGGATGATGTAATTTATGATATTGACCCGATATCTAACAGTGATGTTATAGTAGTTACTAAGGAGCCAATCGAAGCAGTAAGCTTAGGTTCATCAGGCTACATTAGTTCTTCCTTGATAGCCGATGAGAAGAAGTAATTGATCGCATTGCTGCAACAATACCGTGATTGTTTTGCATGGGACTACATGGAGATGCCAGATCTAGATCGGGGTTTAGTAGAACACAACATTCCTTTGAAAAAGGGTTTTAAGCCATTTAAACAGCCACCTCGACGTTTTTCAGAAGATTTCATCACCATGGACAAGGAAAAAATTAAAACGTTGTTGGCAGTTGATTTCATTGAAGTAGTTGTGTACGTCGAATGGTTATCAAACGTAGTTCCAGTCATCAAGAAGAATGACAAAACAAAGGTTTGTACGGATTTCCGCAACCTCAATTTAGCATCACCAAAGGATGGGTATCAGATGGTGATTGTGGAAACTTTGATTGATAGGTTGATGGGTTTTCAAGTCATGAGTTTTGTTGATGGTAATGCTAGATACAATCAGATTTTTATAGCTCTTGCAGATGTTCATGAAACTGCTTTTTGGGCACCAGGTGCATTAGCTATATTTTAATGGAAGGTAATGTCATTTAGATTAAAGAATGCAGGAGCAACCTATCAACGGGCAATGAACTGTATTTTTCATGTTCTCATTGGAAAGGTCTTGGAAGTTTACATCGATGATGTGGTCATGAAGTCATATTCTTTCTCAGAACCTCTGCAACATTTACAACAATGTTCTAAGCATATGCACAAGTACTAGTTAAAATTAAACTCGCTAAAATGTGTGTTTGTTGTGACCTCTAGTGTGTTTTTGGGTTTCTTAGTCCATTCAAGGGGCATAGAGTCGACGCTGAAAAAGCCAAAGCGATCATAGAGGCCAGACCTCCCCGTACCAAGAAAGAGTTGCAGAGTCTAATCGGCAAAGTCAACTTTCTTTGCCAATTTATCTCCAATTTGTCCAAGAAGATAAAGTCTTTTTCTCC